CAGAGAAACAGAGAATTTATGAAAATGATTATACAAAACAAACACTATTTTACAACTTTCCTCTTAACATCAGAGCCAAATGCAATTCCAGGGCCACCAACTCTGCTTTGAATTGCAACCTCCTGAGCTTGGAATGAGTTGCAGATTCTCTTAATATTCCTCCAGAGTCGCAACAGCTTAGTCATAGAGCTACCCTTACACTAGAGGTAGGATCATTGCAGGCGACTTTTCGGCCAGCGTGCCAGCAAGCCTTCTCTGGTCTGGAAAGATTAGTGAAAACATCACTGACGATTGATGCAGTCTTGGTAAACTTCAGGGCCAAACTCCCCTCCCCTGGAATTCAGTTGCATCATATCATTGAGGGTGACTCGGTCAGATTAACCTTGTGTACATGAGGAGTACGTGAGAATGACTGTATGTTTTCAAGGTAGCGTGCGTGCTTCAACGTTTGCCAATTTCTGATAATCAAGCATTGCATATTTGAATTGTTTCTTTTTCAACAGTGTATTGTCTTGACATCTTCTTGAAATTATATATTAATAATAGTATTGTTACTACGGTTGTGCAAAGCAGATACCAAGTGTTCGTTGTTGATAAGAATCTCATACCGCGTTTTGATTTCCAATTAAAATATTTATAAACTAAAATATATATATATTAATACAAATAAAAAAAGTACCTCTGGTTAGTTATTAACACGTTTTCTTTAGGATACCCAAACCAAATTAAACAACAACACTCACGTTTTGTCACCTTGGACTCTGTCAAAAAATAAATTGTTTTTCCAAAAAAAAAAAATCGATTCGCGTCAACATAGGATAAATAATTAATGTGTACACGTCGATCAATCACAAACTTTTTTTTTTTTTATTTTAAAAACATGCCACGTAAAGAATCAAACAAAAGAAGTAAAATAATAATTTCTTTAAGAATGGCAATGGTGGTCGTCACTCGTCGTCACTCTAGTTTACTATACTTGTTTCACGGATCACGAATAAAAGGACATCTAAGGCAATACAAGATCGTATTGATGACCTTCTCGAGAACCAATGAAAATGCTGTTATTGTAATAGAGGATGATGACATAATAACGGTAAATTTTTTTGCTTTAATAGTGATGTGTGAAATTTTAGCTTATTTGTTTGAAATATTGTTTTTGAATAAAGGAAACCCCATATTTCTACAGAAAAAGTTAAAGATTTGACTAAGCTACATGAAGCCAAAGTCCTCATGTATAAACTACTAATTACAAGTATTCCAAAATGTCTCGTTAATGAAATACAAGATATGCCTTTGCTTGGAGTCCAATTCATAGGTGCTACAGCAGAAATTTATTTAGCAAATTGGCAACTAAATATGCGACCAGTAATTTTTTCAGTTATGAAATTTGACTTTCCTGAGCAAATAACTTCTCTACCCACGTTAACCAAGGCAGTTGCAAAACTTTTATCATTGAAAGTATGCTTCTCTAGTATGCTCTAAAGATTTTTTTTCTAAATGTTTTTTAAGAACTCTTTTTCTTTATTGTATAATACTAACAATTTTTTTATTGGGTTTTATCTATAGCCTTATATCATTGAACAAAAAAGAATTACGGGAACTTTTGATTAAGGCAACAAACTATTACCTGGATGACAATAATGACTGGAGTTCTCCCATTAAATTTGATAGAAATATGATTTGATTAGCTAAAACAGTAAAAGTAATTTTGATAGAAATATGATTTGATTAGCTAAAACAGTAAAAGTAATTTTAGTGACTATTGATTTTATCATTAAAGTTAGCAGAATACTTAAAAGGAAAAATCAGTCAATTGTGAGTTAAAAAAAGAGCAGAAAATAAAATTTCATAAGAATAATAATTATTCCAATTATATTATAAAACTGTTAAGTCATATTCTAACCCATGAAAATTCATGTTAACTTTGTCTGGTTTTGTTGCAGTATGTCCCATATATGCTCTTAAAATCTAAGTTATATTTTTATATTAGTATTAAAGTTAAATGAATTATGGTCAGCTATAAATTGGCTTTCAAATTCTTACTTTTGACTAAAAATTTCATTCCCAGCTGTTTCCAGGGCTTCTAAATAGATTTCTATATCATTCAACTATTCTCTCTTCCAAATCCTCCTTTTCTTTCTTTTGTTTAGTCATTAATTTTAAGCTACTAGTTCCTCACTTTGTTTTGCTGATTGCTTGCCTCGATTGATTTACCGTATTCTTTGGATTTTTCCTTTGATATTTGTTATATCATAATGAAATATTTTAGAGATACTAATGCTAGCAGCATCAGGAAATTAAAACTTTCGCTGAGGTCATAATTGACTAGCATTATGGTATTATAGTTATAATGCCAGTCAATTTTGACCCCAATGTGTTAAAAGTTCCCACATTCATTCTTATCTTTCTTTGGCTTATTACCTAGTTGGTTATTAGCATGCGAGGAAAAGTACGTGTTTTCCGCAAAAATTCATTCGCGATTGCCAACTTAATTTCCAAATTACCCCAACCCGCTAGAACATGCTGCAATTATGACGGAAAAATACACGATTATAAGGTAAGAGAAGAAATAATCAATAATTTATCAATACTATTCTTCTAATATTCTCCTTTACTTCCTGTTAATAGTTGCTTTTCAACTTTACATACAACAGCAGTATTTATTTTAAAACGTATGGGACGATTTTTTTACCTTGATAATGAATGTTGTAATTCTTGGGTTCCATGACAATTAATTTTTAGATGATTGATCATTATGATCACAATACAATTACTACAATTTGGTTTCCTTAAGAAAGAGAAAAAAAAACTCTTACGTTTCTTCAGTAAAAAAGTTGAATATTGTATCTTTTTACAATTAGACAGTTGGGTTTTTACTGGATTAAATTTGTCCTCATAGTGGTTGAATGCATTTTTATATATTTGCAATAAATTAAAATTAAATTGTTTATTTGTGCTTGTGTTTTTTCTCTACAAGTTGAAAAATTTTATGACACTCCCCTAACTGAAAAAGTTAAATTTTTTTTACATTTAAATAAACAAAAAAAAAAAAGCGGTGAATACCTAAAAGTAAGAAATTTTTTTACAAAACAAAATTTTAAAGCTTTGCTTTTAAAGCTTTTTTACTTTGGATGAGGGGACCTCCGAGTTATTTGAGGTTGGTGATTGATCACCACCTATGCTATTGTAATCGGCATCGTCATCATCATCACCATCTTGTTGATGAGTGTTCTTGACCTTTCTTTTTCGGAAAGGGCTCAGACCCGGTGATGTAAAAGTTCCTTCAATAGGAAGATGCCATTTATTTTTTGTTGTTGAATGAGCAATTTCCATTGATGATGTACTGGTAGTGGCTGTAAGGGCAGTAGACGTCCTCATTGATAATGAAGACTGATCATTATTTTCGTTGAATATTATCCTTGCGCGTTTTGGTGGTGGATTATTGTTGGTGATAGTGTTATTCGTGGCATTAAATTGTGAATCTTCAGAATCAGAAGATTCATTTTTAATTATTTTAGGGGCAGAAAATTTGTCAAGGGTAGTGGACATGAATAATGGTGGTAAGTTATAAGAAGTAGATGATGTGGTGTTGGTGGTAGCGGTGATGTTAGCAGTTGTTGGTGAGGTTTGAGGGGGGGTTGGTAAAAAATTATTATTATTATTATTATTGTAGTTGTAGATTTTATTGTTATTATAATTAATATTATTAACGTTAGATGTGTTAATAGCGGTGTTAGTAATTATGGGATTCTTTGGTGACGACAATAATTGTGATTTGAGTGGTGGTGGTGGCATTTGCAATGATTGTAGTGGTGGAGGAGTTGGAGAGGAAGAGGTAAAAGCAGCGAAAGAAGCATTAGAGAAAGCAGAAATAGCTGATTTCTTTGCCATTATATCATCGATACTTTCCTCTACAATATGTAATTTAGATGTTCCCATTGCAACCTTTGCATTGTCATATGCAATCTTTTCTTTTTCATGTCTATCATGATATGGCTAATAATAGTAATATATTCATTCAATATGTTTGTTTATTTATTTTCAAAAAATAGATAATTATTGATTGAAAGAAAAAATATGGTTTTTTTTACCTGTTGTTTTTCTTTTGATAAACTTTTCCACTGACGTCCAATGAATGTAGAAAGTTCACCAAATTTTAATTCTGGATGTTGAGATTTTACAGTTTCATAAACTTCATTCATATAAATCATATAACCATTTCTTGGTTTTTTAAGTTTGTTAATGTTCTGTAACCTATAAGCCTTCTTCTTATAATTATAATTCTTTTTCTTCTTTTTCTTCTCGCCTTCTGGCTTCTTCTCCTTCCCATCATCTTCGTTTTGAGGTGAAGAAGAATTTTTGTTTTTATTTTTTTTTGATTGATTATCGGCAAAATCATCACTATCATTATTGTTATTGTTGCTGTTGCTGTTGTTTAGTGAATATAAATGTGACGAAGAAGATGATGACGATGACGATGACGATGATGATGTATTTGTTAGTGATGGTGGCAGTGAAGACGATGCTTCGGAAATTATATTTGGCCGATACAAACTATTATTACTATTATTTCGGTTATATGCCAATACAGATTCATCGGTTTTCTTCCATGAATTAGAAACACTTTCAAACATACTTGATGCCTTTTAAAACACATACAATATTATTATTATTATTATTATTATTATTATTATTAGATTATAAAACGTTAACAATTGTTAATATTAATTAAATTTAAATTTAAAAAACTTAAAAAATGTTCTTCTTCTCTCTTCTTACATGCTCATTTTTCTCTAGCATTTCTTCTAATACTTGATGACTCAAGATAATTGCATTAGGTTTAGTAGCTATATTTGGCAATTCTTTAGCAGAAAGAATTCTAATTTGGGATTCTTGTATTGAATTATTATCAGATTTTGAAATATAATTTTTTTTTCCTGTTACTGACTCTTCCTTTTCTTTAAGGTGTCTATTATTAAATTTTCTTTTACTGACAGTATTACAATCCGTTTTTTCAAATGTTTCGAAAACAAAATTATAGTTTTTGTTATTGGCGTTATCATTGTTAGAGTTGTTGTTGTAGTAGTTGTTGGTGTTATTATTACGGTCGTATTGAATTGAATCGGTATCGTTGTTTGTTAAAGCTTTAATGCTCATAATGTTTTTTACGCTTCTTGAATTTGACATTTTGTCAGTTACTTTTGTTTAAAAATTTATGTTTTTTATTGTATATGAGAAACAGTATGCAATATTAAAATAATAATTGATACTACATGCAAATATAACAAAATTGAATGCTGATTGATTGAATGTATTGATTGAATGTATAATAGGCAATATATATAATAGTAATTATAATGGTAATTGAATATTTTGTTTATTGTAATCGATGTGATAATAGGGTGGAAATTGTAAAAAAAAAATTTTTTTAACAAAAATATTCCATCCAATATATATAAATTTTTTTTTATGTGGCTTTTATTTTAATATTATAATGGAATAAAAAAAAAAAAAAAAAATAATAAGGAAAATTTTATTTAAATAAACAATAAATAATGGAATTTTCAGGGGGCTATATCTCGTAATAATAATAATAAAAAAATATTTGGGTTAAATTCGAATTTTATAATTTTAAAAATTGGGCTTGCATTTGTACTTGATCGTCGTTTATAATTGATTAGGGCAAGTATGAAACTTAATATCTAGCCTATTGTATGAGCTAGGCATTCCTTAGACTTGCTGTTTAGGAGATACCCTCTTTGATATATGTTTATCCTTCCTCATTGTATACTCCTTCCAGTCTTTACTATGACAAGCCAGTTTATTTGCATTCTGTGTCACTTTTCTGCATATTTTGTGCTTTTGAGGTGCAATGTTTTCTTATTATTGAATAAATAATATCTTGAGGAGAAGGGAGAAAAGTTTCAAAAAAATCATTAAAAAAAAATATAAAGCCGAATCGGCAAGGCGGAAAAAAGCCTGGCAGCTTGGCTCGTTATGCTTGAAAGAGCAAACATCAAAATGAAGAAGTTATCAAAAATTTCCGACAAGTTATGTTCAGAGATTAGTTTAATATTCCTATTAAAATCAACATAATGGCTTTTCTCCTAACTTATTAAAAATCCTATGCAATCTAAACCAATTACAAATATTTAAATCACAAATGCTAACCGAAATTGGCTTTGTATTTACCAAATATTTAGGATTCTCGATTATGTGAATAGAGTCTAAAATAATTTTGGCTACTAGAAAATTTTAATTTCGGCATTTCGGTCGGATTCGGCAATGATCATTGATTAAGGACGATTTTCTTCCAACATCTATCTGCCTATAATTTAAATAGAAACAAAGCACACTCACAATCACATTGTGAAGGGTGATGAAAAAAGACGCCAATGTGAAGCTTTGTAACATTTCTGGCTCTACAGGAACGGCCAAAAAAAAAAAAACTTGTAAGTAGAAACAATTTGATCTGATTACTGGACTGTTCGCATGGCTGTTACTTGATTATTAGATTAGGAATGTGTAAAAGAACTGGGCTTTCAAGCCTTAACTCCAACAGCAGAATATTGTCTTCCGGAAAAAACGGCCGAAATGCCTATTTATATTGA